AAAACAAAAAAACCCAAACCCCCAAGACCCATTACAGCACAGAAACATAAAATCCCCAGCTCAAAACCACACTGCAAAAACACCCAGAACAGTTTTCAAAAATCAGAAAAAAGCACCTTGCCTTACCAGGCAGCCCAAAGCCTCCCTGCAAACACACACACACATACTCAGAAGCAGAAGGAGGCAATCCCAAGCCTCCAATGACGCCACACACTCCCTAACTGCTGGGGCGAAAGAGCTACAAAGAAGCAGCCTCATCACCACCTACAATTAGAAATTTGAATTTCCGCCTTTTTCCCCTGCCTTTTTCTGTTTGTAATTGGAAGCTCCGGTTGCAAGTAGAAGCAAAATTTTGTGGCCGGAGCTGATCGTAACTTGAAATGGTCGTAAGTAGGGGCATTCATAAGTCGAGGCACCACTGTAGCTATTGCAGGTTTCATTTAGACTGCAGTACTTTACATTCTTAACCTGGGATTACGTCCTAATAAATTAAGCAAGATGTGCTTCTGGGTCAACATGTATGACATTTCTCTGTGCATTGTATGAGTAACTATTGCTACTTATACCATAATCCTGTATCTTAGAAGTAGGTTCCATTGAATTCAGTGAGACTTACTGCTGGATCAATGGGTAGAGGACTGGAACATCTGTGAGTAAATACAAAAATTGTTACAGAGACACAGGATTGCAATAATATGATTTCCAGTTAAAAGACACATACATACCATGACTAGGTTCAGACATTGCAGTAAATCAAGATTCTTAATCCTGGTTTGTTGATGGTGAACAGCATGTTGGACCATATTGTCCAATGACACTTGTAGCAGAAATAACTTGGTAAACTGTGGTTAGCTTGGTATAATCTCCAAATCCAGTAGGATCCAACATTCCATTGTCTGCCCCCCTCACGCTACTAGAGAAATAACCCTAGAATCAAACCATGGGTGATATTTTTGTGGCTTTGCAAGGGAGCAACAAGCCAGAGTGCTAGCTTCTGCCAGGTTTAAATGTCATGCTAAACAAACCACAGATGACAAGTTCTTGGTTTTCTTTAGTCCTATCCACTACTAGTGGGAGTAATAAACCAGCATACATGAGCCTCCTAGCTCATCCCTCAAAAGCTAACATTCAGAATCCACCCATTGAGTTCCTTGAAAGACCAAGAAATTATGTTCCATGGAGTTTTCATTTGTTTTTTTTAAAAGTACTCTTTCAGAATGAAAAGTTACACTAACATTTTTCCTCTCACTGAACAATTTCCTACTCATCTTTCCACAGAATAATTTTTCCTATTATTTTCTTTGTTGAGATGTTGTTTCCAATATAAATTAGTATTTCCTTTTTAATACTCTTTTTAAAAAAAAATGCCTCGAGTAATCTAATCACACGTCTCCCCCCAGAAAAGTAGTCAATACTGGTCTAAGGAAAACATGATCACTAATTTAAAAGCTTAGTTAGGTCAAATTAAAAAGTTCTCCTCCTCAGCTTCTTGCTGAGCTTTCACGTTGTGAATTGCCAAAGGTTTTCCATTTGTCCTTGTTTTTGTTTTGCCAAAGTAGTAATAATATACTTGTCAAGAAAATAAAGTGCTGAATCCATTCTCAAAATATTAAAATCCTGAATCAAATCCTGTGTTTGTTTTCCCATGTAAAATGTCCCCGAATAGCTCTCATGTCTGAAAGAAGAGGGTGGATATCATGTAAGCCACTATTTTGTGTTCTCACCCAACTAGGCTATAGAAGTGCAAAAGCAGATTGGTGCACTCTTCCCTAATTTTATGACTAAATGCATTTATCCAGTGTTTGAGTTGCCCTGCCTAATATACAGACAGCATTTATTTAGTACCTGAACCTTCCCTGTCTAATCTAGAAACTGGGTATGTATAGGCAGTAAACCACTGATAATCTCTTCAAGGACAGGCATATTTAAATAGTTGCAAGCAGAGTTTATATAGCTCTAGAAAATGTGGGTTTCTCTTTCTGAAATGATTATGGGCTGAATGTTTCAAGATGATAACATTTTGAAGCTTAGTCTTTGTAGAAGACTCTGTTTACCATTTTTCCAGAGTACATCTTACAGACAATATTCCCAGCTAGTCTAAATTGTCTTCCCTTTGCAAATAGGAAAATAGTCCATACAATACAACTGTTTATTTACATGATGATGTATTCATTAATTTACATTTCCCAAAGCTACTCTGGATCTTCAGGACAATATTATGTACACTTGACCAAAACACTTTAAGTTGTCTTAGTTAACTGGGGGATGAGAAGTAGATTCCTGTTGCAATACTATGTACCCATATCCAGACAAAAGTTCAATGTGCAATGTTGCACAAAGGACAATACAACAAGTGTATTGTGTTCTGTGTCTGTGTTGTGCAATGCTGTGGTTTCCCATAACTTTGCCTGCTGCTCCATGGATGTATGGTTTTGCTGCAAAACTGTAAACAGAATAATAGCCTATCCATTTTGCACTTGCAAGATTGTATTTGGCTGTTGTTTACCTTTCCAAAGTCTTTCCAGCCAATGACACTCTGTAGTGCTGTAAGCAGGTTTAGGAAAAGGTTACTGTACACACTCTGTAGTGCTGTAAGCAGGTTTAGGAGGTTACTGTACTGTAAGGCCTGCCAATCCTTGGGATGAGTATTTGCTGATTCACTTATCTCCTGCTTGAAAATAATAAATTTTTAAAAATCCATAAATACATACAGTATTTGATTTGTATTTTCAGGGTGTGTTTACCAGAACTGGTCACTAGAAGGTGTGAGAGACCACACAATATACAGTAGAGCATTTGATACTTCCGCGTTTTTCAGCATCCTCAGGGAGGGTTTGGAACCAATCCCCCATGGATAATGCAGTCCTACTGTAGTATAGATTTTTAGTAAGCAACACTCTGAGAAATGCAGCTAATCAAATGCACAGTCTCACACTCCTGAAAGCATCCATTCCACTCCACCTCAATGCACATCTGTCAAAAGATCATTGTGGGGGACAGCAGAGGAACGTGGTTTGGATATTCTTACACTTCTTGTTTTAGACTAAAAGGGCTATAATTTCTGGTTTCTACATCAAGATAGCTCTTACACACTGTGCACTTCAAATCTTTGTACCTCCTGATTCTCCAAGCTAGCCCAATTTTGCAGGTCTGGGTTTTTTGTTTTTTTGTTTTTTTTCCGAATAGAGGGACACCCAATACTGCTTCAGAAAGCCAAGCAGTCTGCCACAGTGACAGTCAATCCACTAAAAGCCACCTGGCTTCAGCTTCTATCTTAGATCAATATATTCTTCATATCAGAATGACTGATGTGTATATAACATGTGTTTTCATGTGTACTCAGAATTACAAGCACTTGCTGGAAAACTCTCTTCTAATGCTACCTATGTTGCAAGCAGTTTCCATTCTACTGTTTTCTTTTTTAGTTGAAACATGAAAGCAGAAAATCATAACTATTTCAATTACCCACTTCTGACTCAACTCCTGATCCAGTTAATGTACCCGCTGCAGAAAATGATATCCACTTTGGTGCTTTAAAATAGCATGTTAGAAACTCAGTTATGGAATAAGTTTGGAGTAGGCAGACTTAAAGCAATGGTTTTTCCAGAACTGATTGCGTTACCAGTAAATTGGATATTCATATCTTGCGTAAAATGAGGGAAGGAGGTTTGCTGGTTTTTACTGAGAGCCGCCAAGACAGACAATTGAATTTCAGAAATAAGGTTTCAGGAAGGACATAGAAGTAGATCATACAATCGTTCTCGTATTTCGTTTTGTAAATGCACCCTGGGGAACAGCTTGATGCCTATCAAAATAAAGCAAACTCTTTTCTTTTCATTTTGTCTGTTTTAGCACAAGAAGAGTGGGCCATAAGCCGTCCCAGCCTAAAGGCACCACCTCCCAGGTCAACCAGAGGGGGTTACAGGGAACACCCCTATGGTAGATATTGAAGGTCCTCCTCATCTGTGACCTCAGCTTAAAGACAATAATAACCCGTGGTCTCCGCATAAACGGCAACACGACAAGTAATAGCCCATTTTTTTTTCTATCCTAGGAATTACTGCTTATGATTACCTATATACTTCTTGTGTTTCCACATTGGAGTGACACTGGCATTCCTATTTTTTTCTAACATGGACTTTAAAAGACAGTTGACAACATTGACTAAACCATTCAGCAAGATGACGTTCTCTTGGTCGTTCCTCACTGTTGTGTGTAATCTTAAAGCAAATCAGGAAAAAAAAGCATGAAGCTGCATCTATTCCCCCCACATATCCCATACTATGAAGGTTGAGTTATTATTTAGGGTTGCTAAAAATGTAATATGACCTTTTTGAACCAGGTGATAGTCAAGATGTAGATAAGATGTTTTAACCTGTCTTTTTAATATATGTTAGTTAGACTTAAGATGTTTAATATTAAGTTTGTAAATTTCATTTTAAATGCTGTTTTAACAGAGTTGGCAACAAGCAGCTACTGTATGTATGTAGCTAACTGAATTTGTCCAGTGTTTTAAGATGTATTTGTTTTGAGTTTTTTATTTTTTAAAAAAATCACATAAAGTTCCATGTGTAAACTTCTCTAAATAGGAAACCATAGTTTTGTCAAATATGTTTGCCATAATTTGTCAATAAAGCTGAAAACTTTTGTAAGAAACTAAATTTGGAATTACGTGTGTTTAGCTTTAAATGCCTGCTTGATTTTTTCTTCGAGAGATGCCTAAAATGTTTTCGAGATAAAACCTTTTTTTTTCAAAAACAAAATATATAAATGAACCCAACTTTGTTTTAAGAATATGTGCAAGACTTTAAAAGTTGTATTAATAACTTATGCTTGTTAAATAATTTAAAAGCTAACAAACTAAACTGTGAAATGAATCATGGATAGCAGACACTAATGTATAACATGTTAATGGGAAAAAAGACGTCGCTTTAGAACAATAAATGGATTTTTAAACTATCCTTTAAGCTTTGATCTTGCTAAACACACACTCTGATTGACTTGTTTGTATTAGCATGTCTCTCGTGAGAATGTAATGGAGTTTAAAGAGGTAAGACTACAACTTACCAGTGTTAGACTGTCTAAATGCTAGTTCTTCAACCTTTGAGTTTCCCCGCACATTAAATATCCCATTCAACATGTAAGCATTGCATAGACTCACCTTATTGTTTTCACTCCGAGGAGTGTGTTGGCTGCATTTGCGTAGTTCTCTAATAATTTGTCTTGACAAACCAATCATCAGTGTCACTGCCCAGTTGTTGCTATTCAACTTCAAAAACTTTATTTGTAATTTTCAGTGCTAATTATCACCTCCCTTGAAGGCAGTTTAGAGGGCTGTTATTTCTTTTGAGAATATCAGACTTGATGGCTGATGATTATTAAGGAAATATGTCGCAGGACTCAAAGGATGACTAAACGTTAAACAGGTAACATTAATAGTAACTCTGTAATTTTGAGTATGCAACAGCATTGTTAAATATTCTAAGTGGTTAAGTTACTGATAGTTAAAAAAGTAAACCTGCCAAAATATAACAAATAGGTGTTATAGGCTATTAAAACAACTAATTAACATTAACTAGTGGCAACAAAGTTATTTTACAATATATAACCCTTGAGGCAATAAACAGAACTAAAATTAACAATAATAGTAATGCAACGCTTGCTAACAATGACTATATAACCTAAATTTTTATGACAAAAAACGAGGAAGACTTTATAGTAGGGATACCAAAACTGTGAATCTTTTAAATACAATTTTTTGTTTCTAGTGGCTTTTTGTCAACGTGATTGGTTTACTTTTTTGATGAGTACAGAGCATAGGCCGGTTGTTATTCAGTCTGTGAAAAAAAAATCTTTTGCAGCTGGAGTTGCATGCTAATGTTCTTGACTAGTCTTTAAAACATATGTCATCATGTCAGCTGATTCTGCTGTGTTTACTGAAGTCGGTTGAGTTAGCTTTACGTCTGTCACACTGAACGTTCTGTCTCACTGTTTCAGGGATCCAAACACAATGGGCAGCAAATCAGAAGACTCTAAAGTAACTTCCTGGTAAGCAAAAATGCAGTCCATTACTGGATAGGAGTGGGGGGCATAATTTCTTTTCCTCAATGTTTGGATATTCTTATTCCATGGAATGAATGGCTTATAAAGGACCATTTCTGTTCATTCAGATGATGGTCACAGACTTCAGTGCCTACATAGAAGTAAGCCCCAATTGACCATGCTGGGATTTTGTGTCTGAGCAAAGATGATCGGGATCATGCTGCAGAGGTGATGTCATACATACAATGCTGATGACATCCAATAGGTGACAGAATACATTTCTGTTTGAAAATAAAGGGCTATGTTACGGGGGAAAAGATGTATAAACAAACTGGGTGTTTTTATGAATGCTTGCCAGTTTATTAAGCAGATTCTGGTGTCTGACAATTCTTATGGTAGCAATGAACGTGACATATTGAGTCGTTTTTCTTTCAAAGGCAGGAGCTCTTCTTACGAAAATCAACATATAAATTTTGTAAACAAACTATCCACGGGGAGCAGAAAGGCATTAAATGGGCAATTTGCATTTCAAAACACAGGTTTGTGGATTTTATTATTGTTTGTGTTAGGCCATATCGGTGTTAGATTTATATGTGTAAAATTCATGACAGTAGATCTTTTTCATTTTGTTGATTCCTGTTTATTCCACTTTGCAGGTGAAGCATCAAATTGGCATGCTACCAGTTTCTATAAAGTTTGTGCCAGGAGAACTGATTACTCACAACCCTTGCTGACAGACATTGCATACTGATATAACTTTTTGTACATGTGTTCCTCTACAGGTATTCTTCCAAGTACGAAAAATGTTACACTGAAATTGCTTAATGAAAAGTCCATCTTCATGGGCTTTCGGTTTCGCTTCTTAATTTTTATAAAAATTTCTGAGAGTGAAGCTTGGATTTCTAGAGCCGTGTAAAACTAAACCCCTCTGCAATGTAATGTGCATTAATACATTGGAAGTATTATTTACTTCATGAGAAAGATGTACAGTGGTGCCTCGCATAGCGAGGTTAATCCGTTCCGGATTAACCTTTGCTATGCGAAAACATCGCTAAACGGAAATAAAAAAGCCATAGAAACGCATTGAACTTCGTTCAATGCGTTCCTATGGCTTGAAAACTCACTGTTAAGCGATGTTGTCCCATAGCGCCGCCATTTTCGCGCCCTCGGTAAGCGAGGGCAGGGCGCGAAAATGCGGCGCGGACCTTCCGGCGGCCATTTTGGAACCGCCGATCAGCTGTTCTCCCCCGAAATTGCTTAATGAAAAGTCCATCTTCATGGGCTTTCGGTTTCGCTTCTTAATTTTTATAAAAATTTCTGAGAGTGAAGCTTGGATTTCTAGAGCCGTGTAAAACTAAACCCCTCTGCAATGTAATGTGCATTAATACATTGGAAATATTATTTACTTCATGAGAAAGATGTATGCCTATGGCCATTCTCTGACAGAAAAAGCCTCGCTGAATTTCACTGGAGGTTATCATTTTTCGGTCCAGTTAGTAGCCATGGCATAAAAAACTCCACCTAATCCATACTGTTGTCACTGAGCTAAGCAGTTGAGGTTCCAAAACTGATGTGACAATTGTGTGTGAGAATAAATAGATCTAAGTTTTGATTTCTGAACATCTGAAGGTTGAAGAGACCTTCAGGTAGTGTGAGCGGCATATAAGTTAAATAAATAAATAAATAATAATAAATAAGAGCCTTGTTCCATTTGGTGTAGAACTTCCGTGCCTCACAGAAGATTCTAAGGAATATTGTAGGATGTATTATCATATCAGGAGCAGGCAAAGTATGGCTTCCAAAGTTGCTCCGAGGGACTTCTTCAGTCTTTTTGAATTATTGCTTCTTGAAGCCTCCAGGAGTGGCAGTTTATCTTTTTAAATAATTCACAGGGCCTCCATGTACCCCTTGATACCACAAAATACATTTTCAAAAGTGGAAGTAGACTTCCAGTCAATTTCTGTTTCATTTTTTGAAATTTCTGTGCATTTCTGATGGTCTGGAAAACTCGTGGAGAGTCCCAGGACAGAAAACTGCCATTGGGATGCACCAAAGTTCTCCACTCCTGGTTTTCACAGAACCCTGGCCAAGCTATTTGGTGTCAGCGTTGCTGTGCATGACTGATGAGGATTAGTATTGACTGGCAAACTTCCACCGCTAATTTCTTGCAAGCATTTGAAAAATCCTGAAATCCTTGAGAACCCTGTCGCTAGCACTACAGCACAAAATCACCAGGGATGTTGGCAAATATTTGGGTCCAAGTCCAAGTCTGAGTCCCTATTAAAAATAAGCTTTTGCTCCAGAAAAGAAAAAAGGGAGGGATGGGTGGGTTCTGAGTCGTGAGTTGAGTCTGAATCACTGGAAAAAGAAACAATTGAGTCCAAGTGAAGTCCTCAGTGCAGCTTAAGTCAGACTTAATATTGAGTCCCGTGACTCGAGTCCCCATTCCTACAAATCACTGTTTTGCCTTCCTTCAGGTTCCATTCTGAACTCCGCTGTGAATGGTTTTATTTCTAAATAACAATTCTCTTACACATGCTTTTTGTGAGGACAAGCAAGAGATAAATTCTAAAACAGTTTCAATATTAAGAATGCATAAAATATTGTGCCTGGCACCTTGGAAAGACATTTTCTTCCACCCTGTTGTTTCTCATTTTTCTGCCATAGAAAGAACAGCATTTACCTCTTTGCTTAAACTGGTGGTCATCTCAGGCAGCTATGTCAGACTTTTCTGACCTAGTATCCTGTAGATGTTTTGGAGGTGAAACTCCGATCAGACCGAGCCAACATGACCAATAGTCAGATGTCTTGGGAACATCCAGAAAGCAGCAGACTGGATAAGCGCAGACTGGTCTGTGCTGTGGCTGCTCCTGGCCTCTTCAGAGGTGATATGTTCTCTAATTCAGTGTTCCCCAACCTTGGGCCTCCAGATGTTCTTGGACTACAACTCCCAGAAGCCTTCACCACCACCTCTGCTGGCTAGGATTTCTGGGAGTTGAAGTCCAAGAACATCTGGAGGCCCAAGGTTGAGGACCATTGCTCTAATTAATCCTTAGGATGTCTGTGCTACTTCCTGTATCCCAAAAATCAGAGTTAAAACAGCCCAAGCTTTCCTTCAGACTTGGGCACAATGTTACTTTGAGTTAAGAACCTCTACCTCTCAAGTTTGTTGCTAAGCTACAAGGCAATGTTGAAAAACTGTTGTCCAAACTACAGGGAGTGTTAGTGTTTGAACTAAGATGGTATGTACTCATAAGTTGATTGGATGGGGCACCACCATAAAAATTGTGGTTTTGGAAGAGATAGCTGTCAGTCTTGCTAAGCTACAAGGCAATGTTGAAAAACTGTTGTCCAAACTACAGAGAGTGTTAGTGTTTGAACCAAGATGGTATGTACTCATAAGTTGATTGGATGGGGTACCACCAGAAAAATTGTGGTTTTGGAAGAGATGGCTGTGTCAGTCTGAGCTAGCATATCAAGCAAAAATAAATAAATAAATAAATAAATAAATAAATAAAATTAAAGGGGACAAGAATGTTGTGGCACCTTAAAGACTAACTGCTATATTTTAACAAGAGTTTCCATGGACAAGCCCACTTCCTCAGTCCGCGCCAAGATACAGTGTTTGGTTTGGAGCCACGTATAAATGTATAAATATTTGCTATGTAGTCCCACTCTTACATTTGAGGAAATAGTCTTGTCCACAAAAGCTCACATTAATATATAGCAGATAGTCTTTAAGGTGCCACGTTTTTATCTTTTTTATTTATTTGTTTGTTTTGTTTTTGCTTTTACACCATAAAAATGTATGAAAGCTCCTCATAATGCTGTGAATCAAGAGCAGGATAAAATGCCAAGTAATAAATGTGTCTGGAAGGTCCAGGCCAGCCATGTATTATCAGGGCCTTGCATTCATGTTAATTAAAGATGCATAAATGGTGAATGAAATGTTCACCAAAGAAATAGCATAACAGGTACTGTAAAGGTCATTTCTTCAGCACCCAATGTTCACTGGGTTACTGTCTCATTTCCTTCACAGGATCATTATGGCTTCCAGTGAATAGCTTGGGTTTTGGAATGGACTGTGTGTGTTCCACAAAAAGCAGATATGTGATTTACGACAGCCCAAGGAACAAAGCAAGGTAGGATAGCCTTCCTGCCTAGAAAAATATGTTGCTTCCATAAGGATGAAATGAATGTTTACTGATTCGAATTCAATGTTTTTGAATGAGTGTGAGATCATTTAGGAATTAATCTGTGTTGGCAGCGGTATTGTACAGACGACAAAGTATTTATCCATCCATCCATCTATCCAGGTATTTCTATTCTATCCTTACATCTTAAAAAGTGTTTGAAAGACCATTTACATAATACTAACCAGCAAGCAGAATTAAAACATTTAATTCCAGTTTTTAAAACTAAGGCCATGTGGTATACAGTGATCTCACTGGCCACCTACAACATAGGGCTGAGGTTCCTCTGACACTGTAATAAAGGTTTGAGATTTTTCCCTCAATCACCTGCTTTCTGTGTGTATTGCTGTGAATCTTTCCTCACATTTTATGTGTCCTAGTCATGAACAGTAAAATATGCTGGTTGTGCATAAATTGAGGAACAGCTTCAATCTACTATAGTACTTAAGCAAATAAATAAAACATTAGCTAAAAAGAGCACAGTTAGTCGACTTTCAGGTACTTCTGGAAATTACTCATTATTAGTCAGATAAACATTTAGCCCTTAATGGAGACCTTCCCTTCCACAGGAAAACCTGAAAAACAGTCATTGGACCTAACCATTTACATTTTTAAAAAAATTCGGAAGCCTAATTATACCCTATGTGGAGGGTTTGACTATGATCCTACCGTTTTTTAAATGTAAGAAACTTAATATGTCATTGACATGCATGCAATGTAATTACAAGTACAACAATGAAATGGTTACAAGTTATGAATTACAGGAACATCATCAACAACAACAAATCCCATAGATCTTTCAAAACACACCACCTGAGAAATCTATTCAAATCTATTTGCAATCTATTTACAGTTCATGAATAGGACACATGAAATGTTAAGGATATAAAGAATATTTGCTAAATTCCTCATTCTCATTGATTTGGATATTCTCATTGATCCAGATGAGTCAACAAGACATTTCAGTGAAAATTTTTCAGGCTTCTTTGCTTCCAAGCAAGAACGAGACCAGAAGCACTATTTTTGTCATCATGATCTTTCTAATTTCCACAAGCTGTCTTTGTTCTTCCACTTTCAGAAACAAGGTCTACAGAGAGAGAGAGCTAACACAAAATGACGGGCTGGTTCTTAAAAACAGACAGAAACAACCTTCCTGTGCTTCACATCCTTAACAGTTCATCTTTTGAGCTGTGGCCAGTTTTGCAGAATTTACATGACTTGTGCAATTTTTCTCAGAATGTGCAATGACCAGTTCTGTTCTTGTTCTGTTGCTGGGAAGACCACAACATACCTCACTCACTCATAGGATAGAGAGAATGTTGTGGTTTCTCATCTTCATGTGTGAGGATGACACAAGTGACATACCTATGAAAGGATTACAAGAAGTTACATTTGCAAAGGTGGTACTTGACACTTCTCGGAGAGGCAGCCTCGTTCTTCTGTTTCAGTATGTTGGCAAACTGAAAAGTGGAAAGTGGTGGGGAAAACAAAAACAACTAGACATTATAGTAGCTTAAACACTTAACAGAGTTGTTTCAACAAGAGGTTTTGTGTATCAAAACTGACTGCCTCAGATACATGGAGGGCTCATACTATTATTTAAAATTGCAGGCCATAGTTGGGATAGTCACCATGGCTATGCTCCTCAGTTTTAAATAAATAGCATCTTGATAGTCTTATTTATGAGACCCGCCCAGCACTGAATAAATAAGAAGTATGAATGTTCCATGTGTCCAAGGAAGCGGATCTTGATTCCCAGAATTCATATTGAAACACACTTGTTTGTCTTTCAGGCCCCACAACATTTTGTCCCTGCCACATTTTCCCCCTCTAAGACTGCCAACTAGCCTCTTCTCTTGATTGTAGCCATGTCAAGCCTTTCCAGTTTTGAGATATCTTTCAATGCTTCCAGATGGCTGCATTCTTAGACTATACCAGGTTTTGCTCAACTCTGGACACATTGTCTACCAAAAAGAAACATCATTGTGGATATTCACACTATTGTGGATGTATGTATTTGAAGTAATATAACACTTAAACAGACAATATCCACCATACATTTGGGATATGTGTTGGCTTCTCTTTTTGTCTTCACAGTAAGCCACTAGTGGTCGATCTTTTGCCTAAGAGTCCCATACATGTTTCCTCAGAAGTAAGTTCCACTGAGTTCAGTTCTTAAGTATATGTGGAGATAATCTGATTACCACATTCTGTATTACTACAATCATGAATGCTCCAGGGTTGTCTGTGATCGCTACATCTTGATGCATTGAGGAAAGGAGATGTAACATTAATACACAAGAAGTTACCATATTTTCTTGAAAACAAAATATGTTGCTTTTCTTTTTTTCTAATTGTTTTTCTTTTTTTAAATAAAAAAAATACGGAAAGAAGAGCCAAAGGAAAATATTATTTAAAAAACCTTAGTAACTCAAAACTATATGAACTATACAATAATGTGTAATATTTTCCCCTACACCAGGACCATCTGGAGATAAAACCAATTTTTCCTCCCTTTATAGAGCCCAATTTCCCTTCCAAAACTACACTCATTGTGGAGGTGTACAACCCTTTCCCTTTATTAACACAAAGTTGATAAAATCTCCCCAAATAGCAGTTAAAATATTCTTACTCATCTTTTTGTTGTTTAGTTGTTAAGTCGTGTCCAACTCTTCGTGACCCCATGGACCACAGCACGCCAGGCCCTCCTGCCTTCTTCTCTTACTCATCTTACTGTTCTTTAATTTAACATCCCATGTTAGTTTATCATTAACAGCTATATTCCAAACTTCTTTATACCATTCATCTAATTGAAAAATCATATTTAACTTTCCAATTCCTCGCTATCATTAATCTTACTGCTGTTAATACATTTGAAATTAATTCTTTCATTGCCCAACTCCATTGCTCCTTATCAAATATTGATAAAAGAGCTATCTTAGGGCAAACTTCTATATTTAATTTAATTATTTCATTTATTTCCTTAAAGACCAATGTCCAAAATTTTAATGTATTCTCATATATATTTTGATTATCAAGATTGATGGGCAAAGAATGATGGGGGAACATATTGTTTTATAGTGTGCCAGCTATCAAGTTTTTCTTAGCTAGACCCTTGATAACACCTATCAATTGTTATATCTTTCTGCAAACTCACATATGCTTTTGTAATTATACAATTGTTTTGAACTGTAGTAGTGTCACCATTATGTACGTCAGCATCAAATCATGTTTTCAAATCATGAAACAGAACCAGAATTTTACACCATACTTTGTGTGTTAGGAAAGTGTATATTGCTTATTGTGCATTTCCTCTAAATAACACTCATTGTTCATCAGATCTAACATTTTTGTGTGGTACAAAGCACTGTGGGATAGTCTAGCACTTGTGCAAAATGACAACTATGATGAAAACAGTTTTGCTGTATTGTAAAAATACTATTTTTTTTCTTATCTTTCTTTTTAATCAACTACAAACAAATGTACAATATAAAATAAAACAAGAAAGAGAAGAAATGAAAACAAAATGAAGGAGGAAGAAAGAAAAACACACCCCAAACCCCCCCCCCCTTGGGGACAGAGATTCAGACCTCATTGCATCCCAAATTTCCCAAGTTTTCAGAGCGCATTGAAAGCGAAAAAGGAAAAACAAAGCCCATCAATCATTTTTCCCTATCCTCAGACCTGTCCCTGGGCCCAAACATATATTAAGTTCCAAGTTTGTTTTGCATAGTCTCTTGGTTGTTCTCATAGTGCTTCTGAAAGTGTGTCTAGTTCTGTAATGTCCAACAGCTTCTTCAGGAACTCCTCCATTGTAGATATGTCTTCACTTTTCCATTTTTGGGCCCAGAGTAACCTAGCCGCTATAAATATATACATCAAACAGTATTTAATTTTCTTATCAGTAATTTCTGGCATAATATTTAATAGTGCTATTTCAGGTTTGAAATTTAATTTCTTTTGAGTGATTCCTTTTATTATTTCCCACAACTGTAACCAATAACCTCTGGCTTTTTCAGTACATCAAACAGTATTTAATTTTCTTATCAGTAATTTCTGGCATAATATTTAATAGTGCTATTTCGGGTTTGAAATTTAATTTCTTTTGAGTGATTCCTTTTATTATTTCCCACAACTGTAACCAATAACCTCTGGCTTTTTCAGAGTGCCATCTGTAAAACATTTTGAGGATATTTTTTCTTAGATTTACTGGCTTAATCATTTTATAACAATCTTTCCACATCATTG